ATCAGATTTTCAATGAGCACAGAGAAACTTTCCACTTTCAGCAGATGAATGTGAAAACATCCTTCTAGTGTCAAACTCTGCACATACATCATTCTGCACAGTGAAGCTCAAACATCCAACTGTGGGAACAAGAGGAAACATATATTTTTGAGTGGCGGGGGACTTTAAGAAACATAGTACCTATCCTTGTTTTATAAGTCAGGAGGATGTGTAGCAGGTCGAGAAGATAATTCAAATATACAGAGAGGGGAGCTGCAAATGTCCTCAAATTAATCCTTCGGTTGCCTCTCTTCTCAATGAACTGTAACAGTTTGGTTTTAATCAACATCCATTATCTTAAATATTTCATAACATCATCTCTAGCATCTTAAATACCCGGCTCAGAGTCTGTTAGTTATCTGAGACACTGTTGCAAATGGCCAAGTCTGATGTTATATAAGAATTCCAGACAAATAAGCATGATATGAGAAAACCAGGACATCTTCACAGATGAGATGTGTCTCATTTTTATAAGTTGATATTTGAGATTATGTTTTTATGCTTAAAAATAACAGAAACAGGACATTTAGTTCGATAGTTCGAATACAATTACAAAAAGCCAAAACAATGCATCAGCCACTAATATCAGTCTTATAAGCAGGGATGACAATTAGTGCCATTTATTACAGGATTTATAAAACAATGTTACAATTTTGGGAAAAAGGGCTCTATGATACAAGCCAAAAAACAGGCTTTAAACATCTCCGGGATTTAAACAACTACACTTAGAGAATTACGAGCCAAGGCCAAGGATTTATCACCAACACAACCAAGGACACAGGACATGGGTACTTAAGTAAATAGACATGAAATACAAAATAAATTCATATTCATCCTTGACATTTCGGATGTTGGAGGTGGACAGATGGATATTACCTAACAGCTATCAGATATCTCTCCATTTATTCATAACTTCTTCCATCCATCAATTCCTCCAGTTTTGAAGCAGCCAAGGCACTGACATGAGTTTTGGGTAAAAAGGATACACCCAAAATCAATAGTCTACGTAAAGTTTCATTTAAGTTTTCATTTGATTTAGTATTATTATCAATATTTTTTTTATGTGTGATACAGGGCACCAATATAAAGACTGCAATTGTCTCAATATATTTACAGTACTCAGTGTTAAACTGCATACTGATTCATTTATGATCTGTAGGCAGATTGTTTATGACTTTGGTTTGGTTACTATGGTAATTGGTTAATCATTTTTTAGTCTATGAAATATAAAAAAAAAACCTTCCATTCCATTTACAATCACATATGACAGAGAAAAGCAGCAAATCCTCACATTTGAGAAGTTGAAACCACAGAATGTTTTTTTGTTGTTGTTTGTTTAGGTTTTTTTTTTTTTTTGCTTTAATAATAACAGAAATCATTTAACAATTATCAAAATATTTTCCAATCAAGTTATCAATTCATTGACTAACCTTCAGCTCTAAGATTTTGATGTGGGATTGTTTTCTTTTAAACTGAGAAATTGAGAAACTCAAGGAAGCTCTCAAATAATTGATTTCATTAATGTTTTGCCAGGAAGCAGCTTTGACAGGGGCTATCTGGAAATCAGAGGAAATGTTATTTACACCTAATTAATTAATCAGATTTTACAGTTTGTTTTTTGTAAAATACAGATCATGTCATTGTCAAGGGAAAACATCTAAGGTCTATGAGTTTAAATGTTGAAGAGAACTAAGAATACTGCTTCAATGCGTTTGTGACTCCTAGCCTGAGGACATTGCTTTAAAATGTAAGATTTCTGCATCACCCTTTTCCACTCTTCATAATTCAAGGCCACTTACAGCCTACAAACGGTCTTCCTGCAGTAAACCTAACTGTTGACCCTTTGCTGTGACATGACAAATAATAACAACCCCCAGTTACCAAGTAACAAAAACCCAGGGATTAAACGCAGCATATAGTCAGGACGAAAGGATGATGGAAGTATGTTTTGACTGTCCTGTTTGTTCTTATCATTTTGTGCTTCAAAGGGATTACGAGAAAGGTTGCAAAGTGGTCAGTGAGTCAGTGAGATCATTGATAAGGTTGGTAGGTTTCACTTAATCCAGGGAGTCGTCACAGACTCAGGGACGCATGTATAAATCGACCCGGACTGAAGCTGAGGTCCTCAATAAAAAGCTGTTCTGCACAGACGCACAATGAAGGGGGAACTTTCTCTCAACATGGTGATACTCTATGCCTAGTTATGATTTTACCTGTGCTTTGATTGAATAGATTTTTTATTGACCTTTTCCTTTTCTCTCCGTATTATTAGGTAACTGCTGCAACCACGATGGGCTCAGTGAAATCAGCTGGACTGTCTCTTCTTCTGTTGTCTTTTATTCTTTACGTAGTTGATTCTTACCCCAGCATGGACTTATCAAACAGTAAGATTTGCTTATAATACAAGTACTATTGTGTTTAGTATTCTTGTCTCAAACTATACCACTAACTAATTGTTGAAATGTAAAGTGAGATCTCAAATGTGTACTGGTACTTTCTCACAAGCTGCCCATGATCAGTAGTTTTTGATTCTGGTTGTAAAACCTGTACCGTCTCTCTCCAGTGGGCTGTGAGGAGTGCACACTGAGAAAGAACAGTGTTTTCTCGAGGGATCGTCCGGTCTATCAGTGCATGGGCTGTTGCTTCTCCAGAGCGTACCCAACACCTCTCAAGGCCATGAAGACGATGACTATCCCGAAGAACATCACCTCGGAGGCCACATGCTGCGTCGCAAAGCACAGCTACGAGGTACAGGTGAAGACAAAAAACACATCAGGCAAACTTTTCTTTATATACTGTAAACGTTTATACATTGCGGAGGTTACAGTAAGATTTTAATGAGTCTTGGGGTCTTGGAGGGGATGTCTTGAACCTAAAGAGTCACTTCCCTGTTTCTCTTGTTGCATCTCCTTCTCTCTCCCAAAGTGTCCCATCTGTCACTACTATTGCTAACAGACTGAAAAAAAGAAAATCTATAAAAACAGGTGAAACAATTAAAATAGAAATAAGAATTGAAGAAATTGGTTGTTTTGGCAGGAAACTACAGAACTAAATAGTTCCTAATATCTACAGATTAAATGCTCCAGTTTGGAAATAGTCTAAAATACTGTAGTTTATAGGTCTATAGTTTTTAGGTTAACAGATCCCTGTCTAATGTGATTATGTGATGGGAGACAAGAAATCTGCAGACCTCTATTGGTGCCAAAATATATTCTAAAGTTTATCTGAAGTTATATTTTATACCAAAAAGACTGTAACTTTGGAAGATTTGCACTTACTTACCTTGAGATAAACTTTTTTGTACAAAAGAAGGACTGTGGTTTCTGTGCATTCAGTATATTTGTAACTTTCCTATTTTGCACTGCCACTGCTGCACAGCGCTTTCCCCCAGTATAAATAAAGTTCTCTATTATCTTATTTATTTAGCTTATCATATTTATGTATTTTTACCTATAAAAACTTTTGTAGTACTTTTACTTATAATGGAGTTTTAAATTCTGGCACTGGTACTTTTACTTAAGTAAAGGATCTGAGTATTTCTGAGCTTTTATGTTTTTTCTTTTTTTTTTTTTAACCAATGTTTGCTTTTAATTAACTTCACAGTTTATTTCAGTGCTGGTTTTGGTCCGTGTTTAGACATTCAAACATTTTGACTCAAGCTGCTAAAAAGAGCCTTTCATCATGCATTTTTGCTGCTGTAGATTGATAAGACGGTTAAAATTCACTCTTTTTTCTTCCTCCTCATCTGTTTCTCTTTCAGACAGAGGTGGCCGGCATAAAGGTGCGAAACCACACAGACTGCCACTGCAGCACCTGCTATTTTCATAAGATATGACAGATGGGAACTGGAGACCATTCTGCAGCACTCAGCATGGCAACAAATTGTGCTTCTTTTAATATGCATGAGCTCTTCTCTTTTAAAATGTAATTTCTTGTGTTGCCAGATAATATTTTTGTAGCAATTCTGTGTCTGTGATGTGTAATTAGCCTACATTCTTGCATTGATAGAGATGTGTGATTAAATGTAGATTGAAAAGCAATTAAAATGTGCACCCAGATGTTGCACTTTCATGAATGTGTCTTACAGTGAAATTAATGGGAATATGGTGTGTGTGAGATCAATTTTCTAGGTGTGTCACAATTTGGTTAAAGTAAGTTGCTTTGGACAAATGTGTCCGTTAATGTCATGTAAGGAATACTAACATAAGTGAAAACTGACATCACGTTGATTACACACTTGTGCCGTTAAAAAAAAACCTTATTCTATAATCAGAACTGGCAGCCAAAATATATGTCAAGTAGGCAATAAACAACAGAATTGAAATTGAAGATCAGAGAGAAGCCATCGAAGTGCTTAAAAAACGAGGAAGAATTATGGTAACTTTAACTTCTCCAACTCCATGGCATCTGAGCAAACTCCATTTACTGAGGAAGGTTTTGTGATATGATCAAAAACAGAACAGCTCCAGAATTCAAATTATTTTGAAATTAAATGCTTATAAGACGCTTATATAAAATATAAATGTCATTCTGGTGTGTGAAGATTGTGATGTGAAGAAATGTAATTAAACCCATTAGTTTATTTGTGGAAATAAATGTAGCCTCATTTTGAGGGTAATATTAAACCTGAAGAACATCATATGGTAGTGCACATCATACTGCGGCAAGTACTTAATACTTACAGTTCAGCATCCCTCTTTGTTAAAGAGTTTTCTCATTTTTTCTCAACATAGTTTTTACACCACTTATAGAATACCACAAGGCACATGCTACATTTTAGGAAGGTGGTTAATCAGCTGTCTGACCTGCTGAAGTGTTCTAGACCAAGTCGCACAGAATCAGGGATGTTGCTGACAATATCTGTCCCTCCCATGCTGGAGGCTGATTGAAACGTGTCTTGCTGGAGCCTACTGATGCTCACTGCCTGCAGGTCACAGCCGACCTGCAGTATATCTGTGCTAAGGATGGTAGGATACAGCATGGAGCATTCAGGGGGAAGTCCAGTCATCCTGAGATTAGCTCATAAGCAAACCCTCCACGTCCAGCCTTGTGTGCTGCAGAGTGTGGTGTTGTGTCACTGTAAGGTCATGGATGCTTTGTTGACATCAGGGGTGTGTGTGTGTGTATGTGGAGCACACTGTGTACTCGCCCCCCACCCTCCCAACCCCCCCGTGCGTGCGCGTGCGTGTGCGGCTCTGGCAGCGTAACATCTGTGCGTACGCGGTCGTGATTGTTGTGAAGATGGCGGAGGGGGAGACAGAGAAGGAATATGACACACGGAAAGCTATCGAGGAGCTCCGAGAGCGGTTCCAGGGTTTGACTACAGCTCTGAAAGAGAGCTCGCAGTCTCCGTTGGAAGCCTCCCTGCATTTCTGCCAGGAGTTTTGCCAGGTGAGCCCGTCTCTCCTGCTGCTCATCCCGGGCAGCCTGCAGCCCCTCTGGCTTCCTGGCCGAGGATGCGCGTCTACGCTGGCTACAACAATGTAGCTAAGGAGCTAGCTGCCCTAGCTAGCTTGCCTGGCATTTCGAGATAGGGGGGAAAAAACGTCCGCCGTGGTTTTCAGCCATCCTCTCAGTGCTGTTGGTCGGTGGCTTGCACTTATTTGCAAAGTCTGACTATCCACGCGGCGAGAAGTCCCACCAGTGTGTGCGCACTGTGCATGTATTACTCGTATTTTCCAGGCCACAGAGCTAATAGCAGATGGATGTTGCTAGCTGGTATGCAGGGTCCCCCTGTCCTGTGCAGTGGTCATGCTGTGCAAAAAATGGATAGCTACGTTAGCGAGATTTTACAGGGCGATTGCATTGATATGCACTGAATTACATGGTCGTAAGCCCCGTGGAAAATATCATTCAAACGCAATAACTCTGCATCTCCATGCTTGTTTAAGTTTTAGCTGGGTGTAAAAAAGGGACTACTTTTTGTGAAGCTGTTTTATCGTACGGAAAGATCAATGATTTTTCCAAGGTGCTAGCCCAGGCCTTGTGCACTAATTAATCCAGCTAACCACATCAGCGGAGATGTTTATTACAGTCACACAGCCAGCAGCAAAAAAAGATGTTAAATTGATGTCAGTGTTGTAGCCAGCAGCGATCTGGCTGCAGCTGGCTGAGGCAGTGATTTAAAAAAGGGAAAGTGTGGCAGTGGTCACTGACTCCATTACACATCCTCCTCATTAATTTGCCCTGACCATGTAAATATCATGCGAGGTCTCCGTTTACCTGATATCCCTCTGATACCGCAGCGATCGCCGCCGTTGCACCAAATATGTGTGAGATTGTTGGTTTGTGTGTTTAGCGCATTAACCGGCAAAGGAGGAATTCATTCAACTTAAAAGTTATTTGAGGGAAGAAAAAAAAAAAGGGGGGGG